ACAGCAGTGTCTAAGTGTTGAGGTTGAACCAAAGAGGACCAAAGCAACTTGATGACAGTGATTTGAACTGCAAATAACTGTGCTGATTGGAGTTATCTTACACTTCCCTAAACCCTGGTCCTGTGTTCCATGCCCCTAGGACCTCCCTGAAGGAGGGGACATACTTGCTGAAATGAAATTTGAGTTACCCGTATACCTTCCAGTTACCGAATCTGCTTCCAGGAATCTGCGATCTTTGGGTTGCATTGCACAGCAATGTGAAGGCAGGAGAAGCACATTCATTCTCTTGAGCTTTCATTATTGTTTTCATTAAGACAGGGCTTAGAATGATTGAAGCATTCAGTAATTCAATTTTTAAACTCATACATATTCATATGTAACATTTTATTTGAGAATAATTTTGAGGGGGCCAGTTCTGTGGCACAGTGAGCTAAGCTGCCTCCTGCAATCCAACATTGGAGGACCAGTTCAGGTCCTGGCTTCTCCACTTCTGATCCAACTCCATGCCTATGCACCTGGGAAAGCAGTGGAGTATGGCCCAAGTCATTGGGCCTCTGCCACCCACATGGGAGACCCAGATGGACTTTCAGGCTTCTGGTTTTTCACTCTGGCCAGCCCTGGCTGTAGTGGACAGGATTCGCAGGAGGGCTGCAATTGGCCGTAGTGGCTGATTGTAGGGTGAACAGTGGATAGAAAACTCTCTCTTTCTGCTTTCCAAATAACCAAATAAATAATCTTAAAAAATTTTGTGCCGTAAGTGTGTGTTTGTATGCATCTGTGCAGGTATTGATGCTTTATTGTATAGGAAGTTGAAAGAGTAAGGTAGGGTTCAAGGCTATTATTTGGGGGCCACCCTTCAGCACAATACCTCCACTTCCCTTCACTTTGTATTGCTGCTCCCCTCCAACCTGTACATCTCTTCCCTTATAAGCAATGCAGCCAAAGTCTCCTGAGGGTGGTATTTGAGCATCAGAGGAAGAGGATTTATGCTCTTTGAAGGCTGTGACCCACTACCCAACCCTGCTTTTGCTGCAACTAATGTTTACTCATTTTAGTTTCAGTGATTAGCTCCTGGTGGGGATGTATGAGAGGCCATGTTTTCTGTTTTAGACCTTTTGTTGATGCTAAGGTAATCTGAGACGCCTACCATTGTGTGCAGCAACCAAGGACTGGCCTCAGTTGACCTATGTGTAGGAGTGACAGGCAGGCAACATACTCTGGCATGACTTACAGTGGCACCTGTCTGTTAAATAATCTGAGCATTGGTCACTCTGCCAGAACCCTTTCTCACCCCTTCTCTCCATTGCCCTGACTGTTCCCGCTTGGGCCTGTTATGGCTTTCTCCTGTGAAGGGCATTTTATTCCCAGACTACAAATTGGAATTGAACGTGAGATCCTTCTGGAATGGAAGTTGCTGTAGTGATTAGTGTTAATTCCTAACTCTTTCCTGGGCAACTCTCTCTTTCTCTTCTTGATACCTACTGACTTCTTCCTGCTCTACTCTGCATTTTCTCTGCCTCAGAGCCTTTTCTTACTTATAACTGTGGCTTATCAAGACCCTGTGTGGCTTGCTGATACTTTGTGGTCCTCTTCTGCCTTCAGCTCCCATAGCTAACTGGCCCATTGTGTCAGCACTTTCTGCTTAAAATCTTGAGAGACTTGGCTCAGCACATCATTTTATACCAGGAGAAGTGGCCGTGCCTACCTCTGTCTAATCAGATCTGGTTATGAGGGAATGGGGCAGTGCACTAGCACTAGCTCATCTATGTTTTACTAAACTGGAATTGTCATCTCCAGTATGTGCGAAGTCTCTCCTTCAGACAGCGAAACCTGTAAGAAAAACTTCAGAATGTACTTTCCACTCAGAAGACTGGGATTAAACATCTTAAATTTAGGCCCCCTGTAGGTAATAGTCTTTGAATTTATTTTGCACTAAAACTTTATAGCTCCTCAATTATATTTCAGGTACTCATAGTCTCTCAAGTAGTTAGGCAGGAACTAAATTCAGTTAAACATCCCTAAAAATGAAGTCAGTAGCTGTCTCCTTCCAATAGTCTCTGGGTTCTCAGTTGCGCCCCTGCTATAGGGCTGCCAGCCCAACTCAGATCCCAGGTGCAGAGTTGGAAGACTTGCTCATGAGATGAAAGTTTCTGCTAATAGAGGGAATCCATCAGTCAAATGCCCCAAGATACGGAGGTAATTTCTAGCAAAGGTTTTTGTGGCATTAATTTGTTTTACTCTGACAACTTGATTAATCAGTTTTATTGTGACAACTTGTTTTGCTGCAATGCTGCCTAATCAGGGAGCTGTCACCAAAATACTTTATGGCTTCCCTATTTTCCATCACAAATCAAAAACTCCAGCAACAGCTCACCAACATAAGAAGAAGTGATAATTAAAATGCATTCCGACAGAATTAGCAGGCATTCAGTGGGGGTGATGTTATTAGGAGAGATTGCACTTGCAGAGAAGGGAACAATCAGACAGCACTGTGTCTAAGTAATTGCCTGGCTCCCCTGGTGAATCCCAAGTGCCACACCTGTGTACGAGTTCAGGGTGTGAGCTGAGAGTGCTGCACACACCCCGGCTGGATGCCTGCAGTTTTCCTTGCTGATGAGGGACAAGCACTGCCTCTGCCCTTGGCTGATCAGCAAGAGCAGGCCAACAGATTGATCCAACAGAAGCAGGTAGCAGACAGCACTTGTGGGGTATAGAGAGCACCAGAGGAAGCGTGCAGGAAACTCACTCCCACCTGCCTTCTCAGTGCTGTGCAGGAAGGAGAGGAGGGTGGGCAAGAATGGTGGGGAGACCGGGGAATGAGGAGAAGGGCAGGAGGGAGTGCATCTCCCAGAGGGGCTTCAGAAGTGATCATTTTGTAGAAGCCACGAAATTTACTTTTTTACCTTTATGCCTACATTATACCCATAGCAGAGATAGTGATCCATTGAAAGCACAGTATGGGGGCCGGTGCTGTGGCGCAGCAGGTTAAAGCCCCAGCCTGCAGTGCCAACATCCCTTATGGATACTGGTTCGAGTCCCAGGTGCTCCACTTCTGATCCAGCTCTCTGCTATGGCCTGGGAAAGCAACAGAAGATAGCCCAAGTCCTTAGGCCCCTGCACCCACTTGAGAGACCCAGAAGAAACTCCTGGCTCCTGGCTTTGGATCAGCTCAGCTGTGGCTGTTGCATTCATTTGGGGAGTGAACCAGTGGAATGGAAGACCTCTCTCTCTCTCTCTGGCTCTACCTTTCTCTGTAACTCTATCTTTCAAATAAATACAATAAATTTTTTATATCATAGCAATCTGAAATCCACTAGATTGTTCATATTTATAAAAAACAAAACATAACAACAATGCCTACTATTTCTAAAGTGTTTCCCAGGTGTTGGATACTGTATAAGTTGCTATGGAGACATTGTATTGTTTAATCATTGCAACAACCATTTAAAGTCAGCATCATCAGCTCCATTTCTCCATGGAGGGAAACTGAGGCTCAGCAAGGTTAAATAACTTGTTTAAAGTCTTGTGGCCAGAAAGCGACAGAGCCAAGATTAAAACAGTCTGACTCCCACATTCAGATTTCCCCACTGGGCCTCATCAGGGCTCCCCTCGCTATGAGCCTGGAGGCAATCCCCTGACGGCCTGATTTCCTTCTCACAGGGAACCAGGCTGGCTGCCTGGGACTGTCCGCCATCTGTTTAGATGCAGGTGGAGGGGCCTCCTGGCTCAAGGTCAGGCCAGCACATGCTGCGGGTCCAGCTGTGTATGCTGGAGTGGGGAGGGCAGGGGAGACCAGCTCCGCTTACACTCGGCAGCCTGTCTCCTTGCATCCTGAGCTATGGGTGGGCCATGCGTGCTCTCCTGGGGAGGGTCCTGATTTGCAAGAGCTATGGAGATGAGTATTATGATAAGCGGGACATTTATGGCCCCAGATGCCACAGGGCACAGAAGTCAATATGCTACATGCTCATTTAGCATGTTTGACTCTAATGGAACAGGTTGGAAATAATTGGCTTTTTAAAGAAATGCTGCATTTCATTTCATTTCAGTCAGAAGGCACACACCCTCTGGGTGGTTGTAACTCCAGTCTTCACAAATTTTCCTCATTCTAAGATTGGCAAGTGGAGGATGGTGGAGGAAATAGATGCATATGGGTAAGGAGCAAGATAGCAAAGAAGGTGTTCCTGGAAGGAATATGTAAAACTGGGTATATTTCAAATTGTGTAGGCTTCTCAAAATGTCAGGAGTTTTGTGGTAGTTAGATTTTTTTTCCTATCTGGTGGTGTTTTCTTAGACATGTGGATAAGTAGTTCCCTGCTAGCTGATCAAAAGCTAGCAAACTCTGATTTGGGGTGGTTGGAATCAATTTGTCTTTTCCTCTTGCACTGGTTCCCAGTTGAAATCTGTGAAAAGGAGAATGACTTGATGCTTGACAGTGGTGAGTTTTAGAATTGACCAAAGGATATATTTTTTATGTCATTCAAGCTCTAGCTGGCAAAGTAGAAACTATACCAGTCATTTCTACAGGGAGAATTGGATATAGGGAATTGATTAAATGGGTTGAGAGACTGAAAGAGCAACAAGGGAATATTGAGGCAGCACAGAGACAGTAACTGCACTGGACAGCTACCATTCCAGACCTTGGGGGACAAGGAGGGAGGTTGGAATTGTCAAAGTCCAGAAGCTCTGAGGAGGATCCCGTATTGTGAGGAGGTAGACGGGTGGGGAAGGGGCTGTCTGGTTGGAGCTAATGCCTCAGGAGCCCAAGGAGAAGCTCCAGCATGGTGGATCTGGGGCCGAGACCTCTGAAGAAGGGTCTCTGCTTGGGCAGTGCAGCTACCTCTGAAGGGCGCAATGAGGCTGATGGTGGGAGTGTGGAAGGAAGCTGGAATGGAACCAACTCCTCTGGTAGCCGACTGCAGTGTGCTGGGTGAGGTCCCGCCATGAGGGTGACACCGGAACTGACACCGACATTCCTTCTGCTTCCTCTCCCCTTCCAGAGGGCCTCCATCTGTCCCTGCTGGGGAAAACAGCCTAACAGGACAATGGCTGGCAAAGGCATGATGTGGCTTTCAGGGCCCTATTAGGGCCCTACCCCCATTGCAGAGTATATAAGGGCACTTCAAGAAGTTCACGGAACAACGGAATTAAAAGGTAAGGTTATTTTGGTTCCAAAAAGGTTGAAATGCTTGCATAGTTTTTTCACAATAAACACGACATTTTTGAATACCCCTGTATGCATGGATTTATTTATTTATTTATTTTGACAGGCAGAGTGGACAGTGAGAGAGAGAGACAGAGAGAAAGGTCTTCCTTTACCGTTGGTTCCTCCTTCAACAGCCGCCGCGGCCAGCACACCGCGCTGATCTGAAGCCAGGAGCCAGGTGCCTCTCCTGGTCTCCCATGCGGGTGCAGGGCCCAAGGACTTGGGCCATCCTCCACTGTACTCCCGGGCCACAGCAGAAAGCTGGCCTGGAAGAGGGGCAACCGGGACAGAATCCGGCGCCCCGACCGGGACTAGAACCTGGTGTGCTGGTGCCGCAAGGCGGAGGATTAGCCTAATGAGCCACGGCGCCGGCCCTGTATGCATGGATTTCAAAACTTTTTCAAGCAAACTTTTTCATCAAAATAAACTTAACTTTTAATTCCACGTTCCCCTAATACTTGAAGGTGTTTTTGGAGGAGCATGGGTATGAAACTGAGAGAGGCTTACTATCATGTACAAGCTATCTGTATAATATAGCACAGTGGCTGAGAGCATGTAGGAAATTAATGTATCAGCCTTGACAAGATCCTAACTGTATGTATAATGTCAGTACTCATTAAGGCTCTGGAGGGCAAAGAAAACCATGATGAGAGTTACTGCATTTGCTACTGCTTTGTATGACCTCTTCTGATACAATTGTATTCTTGGCTAAGGATATTAATACTGTGTGGGGGTGGGGGATGGGGTGGGTGGGGTGCTTTCTCTGTCTCTAATCTGGAGTCCTCAAAAAAAAAAAAAAAAAAAAAAGCAACCTGCAGTTGGTTCCAGAAGTATGATTGGCACAAAATTCCCACTGCTATGGGTTAGGTTTTGAAAGAAGTGTCAGGAAAATGGGGCCATAAGAATGTTGTAGTCAGGACTGTCACATGAGAGCGGTAGGAACAGCATAATATAGAAAGATTAATGGGACATTGTGGCACAGTGGGTAAAGCTACCACCTATGATGCCAACACCCCATATGGGCACTGGTTAATACCCTTGCTACTCCATTCTGATCTGTCTCCCTACTAATGGTTTGGGAAAGGCAATGGAAGATGGCCCAAGTGCTTGGGCGCCTGTTACCCATGTGGGAGACCTGGATGAAGCTTCTGGCTCCTGAATTCAGCCTGGCTCTGTCCTATCTGTTGTTGTCACTTGGGGAATGAATCAGTAGATGGAAGACCAACCTCTCTCTCTCCCTCTCCCTCTCTCTCTCTCTCTTTCCCTCTCTCTCTCTCCCTCTCTCTGTAAGTCTGACTTTCAAATAAATAAATCTTTTTAAAAAAGATTGCCAGAATGTCTAACAGCCAAGAGAAAAATTGAAGATCTCATGTTACTTTACCATTGTGAGTTAACCTTTGTTTTTACAGAAAAGTCTTTTGAGAACTATGACCTTGGCTTTGGCTATTTTATGTAAGCGAAATGAGGTTTTAAAAATGGCTTTCAAAGGCATCTTGGAAACAATTTTATACTTCAGAAAGGTGACTTTTAAGTCGAATATTAAAAATATCTAATCCTATCATCTCAAGATTGTTCAACTGAAGAGTTAAACAAACTGACTTTGGTTATAACTTGGCTTAGAAAAAGATGCCTGGTCTGGAATGTAGTTGACTGAGACAAACAGGAGGAGGTAGCCACAGACTGGGCAATTAGGATCAAAACGTTTATCTCTAGGATTATCAATCTTGGGAAAGTCACACCCTCTCCCCTTTATTTGTAGGATCTGTAGGCCATGGCTTTTGCAACTTCTAAGCTTAGTGGGTTGACTGAGCTCTCCTGGGCAGCTTCTATCAGGCCTATAGCAGATCCATTTGGTGTCTTAGCTGTGCCTGGCTGACCTGAAGAAGGCAAAGGGGTAGGAAATGGAGGCATCAGATAAGACATGGTGAGGGGGGCAGACATGGTGAGGGAGGCAGACATGGTGAGGGGGCACACTCTTCAACTTCTGAAGGA